TGCATTTTAATAGTGCAAAAAGGATTTCCAACATAGTTTCCAATTATATTAATTTTAGAAAGCATAAATTATTTCTATTTTCTTTAAATTACCAGGTTCATTATTATTATTACCTACCTAAAAAACTGAGCTTTGTTTTGTTTTAGCCATAGCACTCAAGACTCAAAGCGTATAAAATCAAGGTAAATGTAGCCAGCTCAGAATTGAGAAAAGAATTGTTGACGCTCAAAAAGCAGGGGACAGACACGTTGAGTGAGAAGCGTCTATTAACCCCAGAACAACTGTCAAGACATTAGTAAATGACTTCGCCAAGTTAGGAATTTTAGTCTTAAAGGAGACAATCACTAGAAACCTGCACAGCAATGGACTGCGAGGTTGTAGACCAACAAAAACGCCAATACTGCAAAATAGAGACCTGACTTACTAAGGATAACCAGGAAAAAGATTATATATATTGGAAGCACATACGTTACTCAGAAGAGATGAAACTGAAGCTCTTGGTTAAAGAGATCCTGCTCATGTTTGAAGAAGGGAGAGGCATACAACCCAAAGAACACCATCCCCACACATTAAATTGCTGTGGTAGAAGTATGCTGTGGGGATGTTTCATTGTGACTGGAGCTGTGAATCTCATCAAGATGGAAGGAATTATGAGGAAAGAAGGATATGGGAAGGTTTTAACAGAAAACCTCAAGCAGTCAGCAGCAAAATGGCTCAGTGCCGTCGCTTCCGACACAACAAGAACCCAAAGCATACGTCGCCCCTGGTAAAGACCCACCTCCAGAAGACCAAACTGAATGTTGTTGACTGGCCTGCAAACAGTTTTGACTTGAATACCACTGAAAATCTGTGGAGTGAACTAAAGACCAAAGTCAGTGCAAGGAGACCATCAAAGAACCGTGAAATGTTGTTGATGTCCAAGCAAGTGGTCAGCGTCACCCAGCAGAGCAGAGCTGAAACTACCTGATAAGTCTCTGGATGTCTTTTTAAGTACATCTGTACTGAAAATAAAGGTGCAAAAGATGAAGTAATTCTGATGCAAAGAATAAATCAGCTAATTTAGGCTTGTGAAAATGACAATTAACGTGAATGAAAGTAGAAACGGTATTGCCAAAGCCTGCATGACTCTGTAGGAAGTGTGAACTGACTCATAAAACTGAAATTAATTAAGAGCTGCAACAGACAGAAATCTAGAGAATTAAACATTTGAAAGTAAGTAGCCCCTTGCAGGTATCCAAATTCGGTATGAAAGCCTCTAACAAGCAAAGTATATACGGTGGGTTTCATGCACTGCTTAATAATCATCACATCAAGATCTATGTGTAGCTGAAGTCTTTCATTACCGGTACATGTTTGATGTTTTTAATAGTCTGAGTCTAAAGTCCACTAATAACAGTCAGATAGAAATATGCTGAAGTCACTAGTTGTTATTGTTTTTTTGGGGGTTTTTTTTGGTAATGCCAAAACGATGTTACGCAGGTTTAATTCTAAGCTTTGTAAGCATCCCCATTGTCCTGATTCTGGAAATTAACAGGCACCCACATTCACAGGAAGCCTTTAAAGGTAACTCCTCTTTGCATCGCTCTATTCCAAAATTGTTTGTGCAGCTATTTAGTGCAACTAAAGACAATGTTGCCATTAAAGACACGACAACTGAAACACAAGTTAATTATGCCTATTCTGCACTGCCGTCAGATTTGCTACTGTCCCTTTTGCAAAAATCTCACAGCAAAGCATAATATTTCACGGGCAGCAGCTTTTTGCAAGAAATTCATGTGAGGTCAGGAGCCATTGTTGTGCCAGAATTTATATTTTATGAGGGATCCTGGGTTACTCCTGCAGGCTATACTGCTTCATGTGTCACCAAGTCATCACTCCTTCCATATTAACCGCATATGACATTAGCTGTCTGGCACTGCCACCCTCTGGGAGCCTGACGGTCCACAGAGCTGTGCCACACATTCCTAACGCAGCTCTGCAGAAGCCTTCCAGCAAACAAAACACTCTTATGAGTTAATTCATTAAATATACTTAATACTTAATAATAATCACTGAAGAAGATGAGGCTACCTGAGAGCTTAAGGGTTTAAAAATCACATTCACACCCGTTTTGTACAACAATGCTAGACACTTCCCTTTAGCTATGTGTTCCCACTCTGTCCAGCTACGATTGACCTCCACTCAAAGTCAGCATGACTGGGCTGTAAGCTCAGAAACTTGCTGCTGTTCCTGCAGGGCTACTGTTCATGCCAACACCTACAAGCTGGAGTGACTGGCTTACTTTACGGTTAGCATGAGCTATTGCCACAGGTGCTTCTAGACACTCAATCAGATAAAAGCAGTTGTCTCTCTTAAAAATGACATGTTTATGATCATGTTTTTAAAAGCAGATCTCATTATATGCAATGTTCTTCTAAAGCTTTTAAAGGACAGTCAACACAAAAAATTAAAATTACCATGTCTGCAAGATATTCTACTTACTGCACAACAAAAAAAGTGCTAATACGCCTACATCAATTAGCACATGCACAAAGAGAACTTTCAGAGACGACAAAATGGATTTAAATCTGTAACGTGCAAAACTGCATTTTAAGCCTTTGTCACCCTATTCTAGTTCAACTTTCATCACACATTCATCCTGACATGGCAAACAGAAGGACATCAGCCTGCCTGGAAAATTCTGCAGCGTGGCAAACACTGTCCATGCAGAACAATAAAAAAAAAAAAAAAACATGTTAAAGGTTTCATGTAAAGAAAATGCACTGTGAGCATGTGTGTCCGTGCTCTGTGTGTGTGTTTGCATGTGTGTGTGTGTGTGTGTGTGTGTGAGATGGGAACATGGACTTGCTTCTGCATGACATTCTGCAAACTCAGCATCATGCCCAGTTCGCCCTTCATCTTCTCTCTGTTGGCTCGACATTCTGCCAGGTAGCGCACGGCCTGCAAGGACAAGGGCAGCTGTTATCTATTTGGCCATAAAAGCTGAAAGACGCTTTGTGATATTAAAAGAAAGAAAAAGAAAAAAAGGCACGACTTTAAAAAGGGCATGCATGTGCAAACATTAAATGTTACATAACCGATATAAATACAAATGTACTGCCTTTGTGTTTACCGGGTAACCGAAAAAAGTAGTTATATAAAGCCACTTCAAATGTGTGCACACAATGTGAACGAATGGCTATAGAGGAAGTCGTGAAGGGTGGCTATGTAAAGCATAGTGTTTACACCACATCAAACAACAGATGTCCCTATTGTGCAGTGTTTCCAAATATGGACCTTTTTTCTTTTTTTCTTTGAAATTGCGCCATGTGCAAGCTTGTGACTGAATGTTACACACAGGTGGAAAACATGCCCTTTAAACTGTCACTGAAACCTGTTCTGACACTGCAGGACAGCAGGGGAGGTTTTCCCTTACAAACCAAGTGTTTTGTGTTTTATGTGACCACATACTTACCAATAGTGCAGAGTAGACAACCTGTGGATTTGGATGGTCCAAAAAGAGGATAAGACCTGGCAGACAGCCTTGGTCTTCTACTATGGCTCTTCGGTTCAAGGGGTCTGCGGCAAGATCCCGCAACTGGTTCACCACAGTCAGTGCATCCATCTCTGCACTCATGGTGCTTCTTGTCTCGATGCCACACACATTAAAACAGTCTCTTCCTAAAATAAAACGATAGAATATTTTAGAAAGCTTATGTTGAACAACTCAGAGAAGCAGCTAATTTTAGTTTTTAAAAGACCTTTTCTAATTGAAATCTAATTTTCACATCTTTTACAATTTGGTAACACGCTCAAAGATATTCGGTTTGGGATCATTTAAAGCCAAGCTCAAAGCAGTGAATGTTGTTGACAGTGTGGCCTTGCACTAGACTAACTCTCTGAATAATTTCTTGCCCATTAACTAGGGAGGGACCTTAGATCATGTGATTCTTCTGTTGTTGCACAGAGAACAACAAAAAACATTTGGTGATGCTCTTTCCAGACATACAGCTAAAAACATCTATATTACACAGGTAAACGAAGAATCTATTAATTTGGACCTATAATATAATTTTATATATGTAATCTCTTTAATTTTTATTAGCTTTATTGAATGTATTCATTTTGCTAGTCATATTTCGTTGATCTCTTCGTTCACGATTTTATTTTAAAGTGTATAAAAGTCTATACAGCTTTATTTTTTTGCATCCAAATCACTTGTAAATATTTATAACTTGATGTCTTTAGAAAACAAAGTTGGGTTGATTGTAAATCTTACAACGTTTAAACTAACTTGCTGCAAACCTATGTTAATGGTACAATTTCTAATAATGTTATGCGTTGGCGGCAAGTTCTAACTACTAAACACTATATCAGCAATAACATGTGTAAAACGTACAGTGCAATCTGACTGAGAAGTGGATTATAACTACACAGCTAGACATGTATGATAGTTGTCATACTACCTGAAGATCGAGTAGTTTAGCGTTGTATGAGGCACTTGAACCAGTACTTTAATTTGCGCTAACCCAAATACAGATGCTCCTTTCAGTGAAAAGACACTTTCTACGACCCCTAACCTCACCTCAAATCACGCCCTGTGAGACGGTCCGGGCTATGCTAGCTAGGCTAGCAGGCATTACTTGACAATTGGAGCATACCTTCCTGTCAGTTTTCGTGGAAACCAAGAGACAATTCCCCGTGACTTCGGCTACGACGGATTCAAAGACTGCGCAACCACAAAAATCCTACGTTACAAACAGCTAACCCCAAAACAAGAGAAACCAAATTATTTCAGTAACGCCAGGCCTGCGCCTCTATCTCCCCTTTGCCTGTTTAGCTAGCAGCTGTGCACTGCACTGTGTTTGTGTTTTGTGGCGAGCAAATGGGGTACAGCTGTTTCTTCATAAAGGACATCTCATTTTTCCACCAGGATCCCAACAGTTTAACTGTGACATAGCTCCGTCGGGAAATGTAGGGAACTATAACGAACGTCCACATATTTGCTAGCATGTGGTTGGATGGTCTGGTAGAATGGACTGTCGTGATAGCAAATCACGAGACAGATATGTTTTAGAGTTCAATGCTAATTGGTGACTTTCTTTGCCAATCAATTATAATAACCAATCGTGAGGTTAATCTACGTAATCGTTTTTTTCAATTGGCTCAAAATGCATTCCATAGGTCCTACTATGTTAGCCACTATCTGCTGTCCATGTCCGTCGTGTTGACAAGGTGGAAAAATTGAGAAAGTTATTCTACAAGCGCAAGTCCGGTAAGTTGGAATGGAAGTAAGGCACATACTGATCTTTGGATGTGAATACAATATAAAACACGTGGTGATAACTGTCTCGGGTAAGTTATAAATTATTATAAATGTGTGTTTCTAGGTCAAATCCTTATAAAATTCATCGGATTGTATTAGCTAGCCAGCTGCTATCATTAGCCGGTTAGCATAAATGCCCGCTAAAGTTGAGACTCACTCATTTAGCTTAATCATACACTCTATAAAAACGTTGGTCTGTGTTAAGCTCAGAGCGCTTGTTCCCACGCTTATCCTGTTTCGGTAATAAGAGAAGGAAAATTTGTGGCTTATTAATGTTATATAGAAAGGGAAACATATAAATGTTCATATCAGTGAGGATTTACAATGTAAGAGCAGCCAAATTGCAAAAAGAAAAAACACATTGTAAATTTTAGGGAAAAAAAAAAAGATCGTTTCTAATTTTTAACATAGCAGAGATTTATTTATTTTTTGTTCCAGAGCATCTTAACGCTGTTATACTGTAGATCCACAAAGTTCTTCCAGTGCGTTTGTTGGTTTAAAGTGTTGTGTTTGATGGTGGTTGAAACTGACTTTCTCACTCTTTGTTTTGTATTTCTTCTAGATGACTGGTTGGTGATGATGATGTTGATGTTGGCACGTGTGCCAGTGTACCCTTGAAACGCACCGACAAGAATGAGCAAAGAGTATGCAAGGATGGAAATGGACCTGGTATGTGACAAATTAGATTAAACACAGATATTTGTTGTTAGTCAGGTGACGGTTCCACATTGACTGAGCTGTATTTGGTTGAATAATAACTTGGCTGTACCCAGTTAAGTTATTATTCAATTGCTTTGAATTGAATTATTATTGCTTTTTCTGTTTCAGGCTTTTGGATCAGTGAAGCCTTATGGGTCCTCGAGAAGTATTGTGAGGAGAATTGGTACAAGTCTCCCGATTAAACCCTGTCCCAGGGTAAATTTTCAGGTGAGGCCAAGTTACTCTCATTAGAGCTTTTTAGTTTTGTCTTATTTAAGGCAAATTAGAATTGAAAGTTTTTTTTTTTCTTTTTCATTTTCTTTTAAGACAATGACATGTTGTCTCTATTATGAGTCATTCCTTTCTCTTCATCTGTTTTCACGCACGTCTCTCCTACCTGCTGGAGTCACTGCCATGTGACAAAATCACATGCCCTCTTCAACTTTTGTTTACCTCTGCTCGTCTGACTGTTTTCATTTTAGAACCATAAACAGTTTGGGTGAAGGGATATTTGATTACCACTCGAACACTGACTTTAACCTTTAAGAATTTGATTACCATTTTAAAAATGTTAAAAACTGGCTCGCTGTTCTTCACTTTCCTTCAACTCTGTGCTTTTCTCTTCTTTTCTTCTGTCTCCAGCTACCCTCCGTAGCTATGAGGAATGCAGTATGTCTGCTGTAGGTCAGTTGGTTCAGCAACCTTCAACAACCTTGAGCTGACTAATTCCTACTGAGCTACCTGAACCTTTGATTAACAATGTGTAGATGCTTTTCCTCTAAACTAACCTTATTTTTACTGAATGATTTTCTAACATTAGTTGTTGTATGTGTGCCTGGTGTGCTATCATCAGGCTTTTTTTTTTCCCCCTCTAAGCATTTTTTTTTTTTTTTTTAAATCCTCCTCCTCTGATAGCTTTATCCATACCACGATGAAGCTGGTGTCTTGATTGGCAGCAGGAGGCAGAACTGCCTGGTGGCCACTCTGGCTGATGTTGCATGGATTGACAGGGATGAGGATGATGAAGACGACTACTTTAGCAGGCCGAGGTAAGACTATAGTCTGTAGAAAGATATCTCTGAATCAGGCTGAAGACTTAAGCGCTTGTAAAGAGTTACTAGAAGGAGACAGTTTTATTTCAAATCTGCAATGGAAACAGGTCGGGGATCCCACCAGGACTCATGTTTCGAGCCCAGCGGCCTCACCCTCCCAGAAGTCGCCTAAACCGCCAGAACTCTCTACCCAGTATGCATCATGGAGCTTTGGATTCACAGGCGTCAGCTGCTGCCAACAACGAAGCCATTCAGAAGATCAGTGCGCTGGAGACTGAGCTTGCAAAACTCAGGGCTCAAATTGCACAAATTGTTCTGGCTCAAGAAAAGAGTGCACAGCCAGGTACTGCTTAACAATTCTGTTACAAATTTTTTAAAATTGTATTTTAATTTTTTGCAACATACTAAATGACTGTATAGTCTCTTATTTTTCTCTTCATATTTAACTGTAATAATGGAAATGTCCCTCTAGATGGCAGCAGAGTGTCACATGGCGTATACTCTATTTTCTTTCTTTTTTCCTCTTTCTTTTTTCCTCTTTCTTTTGTGTTACATTTGCTACTACCACAGGGGCACCTCCTCCCCCTCTACCCTGTGGCAACCTGCCACCTCCCCCACCACCTCCACCACCTCCCCCTCTTCCACCCCCACCCGCAAGTCTGCAGCGGACATTTTCGGCCATTGAACTAATAAAAGAGCGTAGAGGGAAGAAGACATGCGGCCAGACAGTTTTGGAGTCAAGACCTGCCGAAATCCCCAGCATGCTCGATGTCCTAAAGGACATGAACAAAGTCAAGCTGCGATCAGTGAAAAGGTAGGCCTCTGCTTAAGACATGAATGAGATACATTTGGAAGTGATGAAAAGTGGCCAGTGAAGTGTTTCTGAGGTGTTTGAAGTCTCATTAGTGAATGCAAGTGCTAAGGGCCTTTCACACCAGACGCACAAAATCCAGGCGTATCTTTTGTGCATTAAAAATATTGTTCGGATTCACCTTTTGTTAATGCAACAGTTCACACCGGCCATATAATTTCACTTTTTTCATTTAGAAAACTTGATTAATTTATTTTGTTTGTTTTTACAGTTGTTTTCTGAGGACAAATTTTCTGCAAAAAACGGTGTGTGTGGTGTGTGTGTGTGTGTGTGTGTGTGTGTGTGTGTGTGTGTGTGTGTGTGTGTGTGTGTGTGTGTGTGTGGTGTGTGTGTGTGTGTGTGTGTGTGTGTGTGTGTGTGTGTGTGACACGTGAAGTTCGGATCCATAAAATTTGGAATTTCCTGTCATTTTTATGCATTGCGCTCAGTTTGTAACGGCTTTTAGAGTCTGACACAAAGACATTCATCTGAATCTGACACCTCCTTGCTAAGTATAAGCTAATTCAAGATGAATCTCCATTAAGTCATTGACTTCATGCATTACTTCAAATTCAACTTCATGTTATCAGACACATAGTGTCGTCTTCTGTTTTATTAAGCCGCTGCTACTCAAGATGTTTGTATCACGCTACATTCCTATGTAGTGCCAGAGCTACTGCATGCCCATATTACAGTATTGTGTGCTTTGGTCAGGCTGTTGGAAAACTGATATGTCTAATCACATTGAGAAAAGTTAAAAAAGAAAAAAAAAATAGGGGTGGTAGATGTTGTTTGCCAAAAATGGGTCATTTTTGCCCGTTGCTAGGTGGTTGCTAGGCATGTAGTGGCTAGGCTATTGTAGTGAAATTAAAACAATGGGATGCTTTCCTCAGGTGTTTTTAGGTGCATAAAGGCTAAAAACACGTCACTGTTGCTAGGCGGTTTCCAGGCTTCATAATACAGAAAGCATAATTCAACTAATTCAATCAAATTAGATGATGTTATCATGAAAATAATGCAAGGTGTTGTAGGGCCGTAAACGTTAAGATCCTCTTAGCATGTTGCTAGGCAACGTGATGACGTTCTCATTGTACTATAGTGATAGTAGCGCCCATGTTTATATGTTCCCTATTTCATCCTAGATCAGTGGACTAATCTTGATGAGGTTTTGCATAAACATTGCCTAGAGCACCTGTGTGACGTACACAAATATTTTATACAAATCCCACAGTCGTACATATTTGTGCATTTGAGAGTTCAGTTGAGGACCGAACGGAATGTCCCACTGTAGAGCAGAGTGGAATGTCCCACTGTAGAGCAGAGTGGAATGTCCCACTGTAGAGCAGAGTGGAATGTCAGATGAGAACGATATGGCACAATAAAATGTATGATGGCGTACCTGTCTGCCAGGTTTGCTTGTTGATAATTTTTGGAGGAGTTCACAGAGAAAGAATCAAACACTCAGTGATTTGGTGCGTTACAGTAACATTGGTAAATGCCCCATCACCTGTGTGTGTTTACAGTCGTCTGGTAGAAGATGATGCCAAAACAAAGTCCAAGGAGCCGGCAGATGCTGCATCTCTCATCGCCGAAGCCTTGAAGCGCAAGTTTGCTCATCGTCATCGAAACGACAGTGAACGAGATGACACAGAAGAATTCAAAATTCCTGTCATAGAAGCGAACCCTCAAAAAGAAACCATTCCGGTGAGAAATGTTGATGTATTATAAGGAGGCTTATATTAATTGAAAAAAACAAAACAAACAAAAAAACAACTTTTATTATCCAGAATAAGTGAACTCAACACCCCAGATGGTCTGTTACTCAGAACCATGCATGAAGTTGTTCTTCAGAACAGTTTGTAAAAGGCCTGCCTTGTCAGAGAATATTTGGCAGGTGTTTGGATGAACCATCTATCACAGGCTGACGTCAGTAAATCAAATCTGTAAATTACAGAACAGAGTGGTGAGGAGAAAACAAATCTCAGAAAACGTGTAACTCGCTGTGGAGTTCTCAAAGTTTTGTATTTTGGAATTAGCTTTTAACTTTTTGTTTTTAAATGAGTTCAGTTGTGTCCACAGTGGGTTTGCTTGTTATTTTCACTGTTAGTCTTTTGAAATGTTACTGTATTTGGCAACTATGTTTTCCAAGTTGACAAAATCACATCATCATCATTTTTTTTTTTTTATTTGTTTAGAATTTTTCTCATTTTTATTTTAGTAAATTGCGATTTAAAAAAAAAAAAAAATTATATTCAGTTTTAGTCTTTAGTTTACTTTCAGTTAACTATGATAATGTTTACCAGCCTGTGTAGTTAGCGTGTTGGAAAACCACTCCTGCTGTTTTTATAAGTATGAATGGAAAAAAATGTTTCATCACACCTGAAACATCCTTTAACTTCAACCATACTGACCTGATGTTTCTCTAAAGGAAGCTGATCGGTCAACACTAATTGGTTCAGCTACAAGTGAACAATTTGAAGCAGAACCACAAGCTGATTTTTATAAAAGGGCAAAAAAACAACTTAGCGGTTTACAGAAAAGATGAGTAAAATATTTAAAACTCCGTGTTTGTAGATGTCAGTTCAGATGGCACAGATATAATTTTTAAGAAGCATTTCAGGATCTTAATTCATTCTTTTGTCATGCAGTTGTTTAAGTGCTCTGCAGATTTCTCATGCACTTAATTCTGCTGTGTTCTGTTTTTCCACAGTTTGGGCAGCACATGTTGAAAGCAACTGGAAAAAGAAAGTTGGTCTGAACAGACAATGTAAGCCTAAGGTCCAGATGTTCTGTAGATGCATTGAAATTCCTTTTTATCTAATCTGTTTCTTTGGAAGGACAAGGGATTTTTGCCGGAATACGACCTCAAGTCTCACCAGTCATCCTGACTGATTTTGCACTTTTCTAACTTATATTAACCTCTTTCTTTTAAAGACGTTTTATTGTAATTTGTTGTCGTTGAACTGAAGGTCTTAATTTTTATGTTCAGTCTGTCTCGAGTGAAAGTTGATTATATTATTGAAACTTTGGGTTTTGTTAAACCTGCGCCTCAGCAGGGCTGATCAGCTTCCTATTTTTTAAGGCTGCATAAAAGCTGAAGAGTTCATAGAAAAGGAAGATTTTCTGACTTGTGCACTTTGTTGCCTGACGTTTAGACTACTTTATGATTAGGATCTGTTTATATTTTGGTTTAAGTGAATAATTTAGTTTTTAACACTTAATTATGGCTTAGATTCGTCTCAGTGTAAATTAATGTGTTATCAGTCAGGTTTCAGTGACGCTGGATAATATTTCATCTTCTTCCCAAGTTGCAAGTTTTGCCTTTAGCTGGTTCACAATTATGCATATGTTTTTCTGTGTGATTCGCCTTTAAGAACCAAAGATATTTCACTGAAGCCCTTCAGGATTTCGCCTTTCAATACCAAATTTTGCATTTCATGTCCCTTTTTTTTTTTTTTTTTTTTTTTTTTTTTTTTTTTTGAAATTAACTGCTGCTGGATACTTAAAGGTACTGGGACACATGCAGCGTTTTGTTTCTACCTCTGCTAGGAAACACTTTCCTAGATTCAAAGTTCAGCAACAACACTAAAGAAACACTACGCTGTCACGATACTGCGAAGCTCTGTATTGACAGCATGTTTTAACAAATGTACCCAAAGTCATTAGTATTGCATAAATCCTGCTTTCGTGTAGAGGTTCATCACATTTCCAAGTCTGGATTGGATTCAGAGGCATTCGAGGTTTTTAGGAAGTGTTTTGTTTAATTAAGGAATGCACATTGTTACTATTTGTGACTATTATGTATGCCATGTAATTGCTGCTGAACATCAGCTGGATTGTCTTTCATGGGGAAAGTGGAGTGGATACGTCAGTAGTAATTGTTTTTGTTGAAGTTGTCTTACATAAAAGTTAATTTATCAAACTAATAAATAAAATGTCTATCCTGACCTGTTTTGTTGTCATTTTTGCAGAAGTTGGGAGTTGAAGAAATTATGTTTTGGTCATTTTGAGGTTTTTATCTGAAAATCCATCATTGTGTGATTTCAGATTAAATAATAGACTTAAAACAGTCAACCTGGAAACCGACTGAACATTTTATAAACCTATTATTGTTCAGCTGCTTAACAAATATCTAATCAGCTGTTCACATGGAAGAAACCCCAAAATCCCATTTACTTCCTCTAAAACTTGCATCTCTGCATGCAGTGTACCCTTAAACAGCCTGCCCTTCTATAAATTTCAGCTTCCATTCAAACTGTTTTTGATGTAACCTTTAGGTAATTTTTACATGCATTTTACATATTTAACTGATATTGCGCACTCACTAACCACTTCAGTAGAAAAACCTGTTCAACTTCTTGCTAATGCAAATCTACAGAAAAGCCAAACACCTGCCAGAAATTTAGTGCACTCGTAGAGATAGGCGAGATGACCTGCTGAAGTTCAGAATGAGGAAGAAAGATGATATAAATTATTTGTAATATGGCACGACTGAAACTGCTGATCCACTGGGATTTTCTCACAAAGCCATCTCTAGGGTTTAGAATGAATGGTTAGAAAATAAGGAAATATCTATCAGCAGTTGTCAGAGGAGAATGTGCAGACTGCTGCAAGCTGATACGAAGGCAACAGTAACTCAAGTAGCCACTCGGCACAACCAAGGTATGCAGCAAAGTGTCTCTGAATATGCGACTTGTTGACCCTTGAAGCACATGGGCTACAGCGGCAGAAGACCACACCGGGTTTCACTCCTGTCAGAACAGGAAACTAAGGATAAATTTGTGTAAAAAAAAAAAAATTGGTCAGTAGAAGATTGGGAAAATGTTGCCTGGTCTTTGTGATGCATTCAGGGGTCAGAACTGGGTTTAAACAACATGAAAACGTGGATCCACCATGCCTTGTATCAAAGGTCCAGGCTGCTGCTAGTGGTGTAATGATGTGGGGGATAATTTCTTGGTACACTTTCTGAGCATTGTTTAAACAGCACATCCTACCCAAGTATCATTGCTGACCACGTCCCTCTACGACCACTGCGTACCCATCGTCTTGTGTTGGCTTCCAGCAGGATAACACACCATGTACAAAGCTCATATCATAAACTGCCTTCTTGAACATGACAATGAGTTTACTGTCCTCGAATAGTCACTAGATCTCAATACAACAGAGCAGCTTTGGGATAGTGAAGCAGCAGATTCACAGCTACAGTGTGACGACATGAGGTCAACGTGGACCAAAATGTCTGAGGAATCTTTCCAGTACCTTGTTGAATATATGCTTTGAAGAATATGAAGGCAAAAAGGGGTCGTAACCCAGTAGCAGCAAGTTGTACCTCTAAAAAGAGCTTGAGTGGGCCTACTGGTTTCACAGTTTGCCAGTATCGAAGTGATTATTTATTAACTGGTGTAAAACTCAAGCATTTGTCAACAACGGGTTTTATTATTCAAATTGTAACTGCAACAGGCATGTATCAAAAAGGTCAATACAGCAAAGCCTTTACAAAATCTGGCTTGACACTGAAGTCTTCCCAAAAAATGGCTGTCGCAACAAATTGTAAACAGTTTTTGTCAACAGTCTTACAGCACTTAACAGCAAAATACAAATCAGCTAAAGTAAGAAAAAAAAGCACCTGTTATCTTTCAAAATGTATAAACACAAACACAACTTGTGGCACTATACAGAATCAAAGTAGACAAACCAAACACGAAGAAATGGAATGTTCAAATTCACTCGACAATTTTGTTTCCGTACAAAAGAAGAAGAAAAGAAAAGATAGCTGGAGTTGTTCCTCGCAACAAAAAGGCAAAGGGATCGGACAGTGCATCAAAAGACAAGCACGCCATGCAGTTGATGGGAACAGGAGTTGGTTTGGTCACTTAGCATAGTTTGTGCATAGTTGTAAGGCATCAGTCGAGCAGTCCTTTAGGTTTCATGTGGCTGTGAGACATTCTGAGGAGAGGGAGACTCCTTAGTTAGATCCTAACCACCCAATAATAATAATAATAATAATAAAAACTTGCATTATCCTCCTCCCCTTTTACAAAAAAGAAATAAATTTTTAAAACAAAAAAAAAAAAACGTCTGCAAACCCTGAGCAAGTCGAGTTGCGTGGAGTTGACTTCCAGGTGAGATGCATGTGCGGTGACTAACCACCCTCCAGTCTGGCAGGGAAGGTTCCCACCCACCCTCACCCCACTGCCCCAAGTTTAACCAGGACTGGATGATGTGGAAACATCAGAAAGAGACTATTTCCTATAATACCTTCACAGGATGTCTTGGAAACAAAGCTGCTCATCGAACGCCGCTGTTATTCGGGAGTGCAGGAACACATGGTAGAACAGGTGGAGTCATTTATGGCATCTGGTGTGTCTGAATAAGGTTCTGCTCATGGCTTTGACAGGGTGTGTGTGTGTGTGGGGGGTAACAGTTCAAAATGAGTGGTTTCTTCACATCTGTGCTTCGAAGGCAAATGTGGGGCCGACGTGATTCGTTTCAGTTCGACGGAAAGATACAAAACAAACAAGACGCGTAAACAGTCTTCGTAGAGGCAGCAAAAGGACTGGGCTTGTCACATTTTTTTTCTGTTGTTTTTTTTTTTTTACATGAGGAAGAATCTTCAATACCAATGCAACAACGGCATTACTCCAAAGTCTTAGAAAGGTCTGAACACTCCAGTTGTCTCAGTCAATACAGTTCAGATCATTCTTCAAATCTTTGTTTTCAAATGGCACTTAAAAAAATACCAGAAAAAAGGTCTTCTTCAGTTCTTATACTGCTTTCCCCTTAAAGTTCACAAACTTAAAAAAAAAAAAAAAAAAGGTGGTGCGTTCAGTCAGTAATGCCAAAACTACAGAGGACAAATAAATAAAGCAAATAAAAAGAAAAAATACAGCAGTAGCCAAATGAGGTATCTATGTATTGCTCTATGCCAAAAAAAAAAGAGGAATTAAAATTAAATAAATTAAGTAAAATCAGTGGTTTATCAAGATGGGAGGCCAAAGCAACAAAACATAAACTAGGTGTTCGGAACGGGTGGGGCAGCGGCGTGGCCGCAAACCGCTGGGTGCCCCACCCGACCCCCTCAGTGTATTGTGAGGCCCTGAGGCCCCCCAGGGGTCACGAGGTTGAGGTGAAATGGCACAGAAGGAGTGTGTCAGGATTCTCTGCTTCCCTGAGGTATTTCTTTGGAGCTGGTTCCTCCTGCGGTCGTAGCTGTGCTGCCGTCACTCGGCGCGGTGGCAGCGTCTCCTGTGTCTGCGCAGGCCGTGCTGGGCTCTGCCTCCTCGGAGACCGGAGCCGGCTCCTGCTGTAAGCCTCCCCAGCTGGCTTTGTTTAGCCCCATGTGACCCAGCATGGTCTGGGACAGACGTGTGTCACAGAAACGGGCCCACTCTGCAAACAGCGGCTCAGCCACATATGTCATAAAGCCTGAGGGAGGAGAAAGGGTGGCAGATGCTGATTAGGACGAGTATTTGCATTACACGCAAGCCGTTGATAACGGGGGACTAAAAACAGAGCCAAAATCCTTGCCTATTTGAATGTTGCCGACTGTGTTCATCTCTCTGTCGCAAAGTGGGCTGACTTCAAGTTTGTGCTTCTTCTCAATGTCTCCTGCAAGAGTGTAACAAAGACTTTAATAAACAAGAAGAAAGAAAGGACCTCCAATCTGGAGAAGAAAGAGCAAAACAAATAAGGGAAAAATATGGACAGATAACCTTGTTGGAAGAACTCCTCTGTCACTTTCTCACTCCACTGTTTGCTCAGCTCCCATGGTCTGCAGGGGTTACAGATATCTGCACACTTCAGGGCCATCTGCATTGGAAAAGCAAAGATAAATATGAACCTGCTGTTTGCTGAGATGCAGGAGCTTTTTTTAAACCAACACTGACCTGCAGGACGAAATGACGATGGCTGGCGGTGCTCATGCACAGGTTCTCCTGGTCCAGGTGCAAGCGAAACCTGGACAGGTAGTCATTCTGCCTGCTGATGTCCGTGGCCAAGATTAAGGAACCCAAATCCCTCTCCATGTTCAGCCTGAGGTATTACAAAGCAGGTTTGTTTAAGAAAACACATTTTAAAGCAAAGAGCGGTCTTATGAAAGAACTCTGTTTCTGCACAGCCTTGTAAGTGGCACAGTTTGAGTTCTCTTTGTGTTTCCCAGTGTCAGACTGACCTGTCCTCAGCAGGCAAATGGGAGAAGAGCCCAGTCTCTCTGAGCAGACCCACTGCTGACTTCCAGTGGTGGTTTTCTAGAACTGAGGTATTCTAGGTGTACAAACGAGAAATTGTGTGTGCACGTTAATTTAATACATCGTACAACATCCTTCACTGAAGTCTTCTAATAGGTTAGGCAGGCTAAAGAGTGACTGCTTTGTTGCCTTACTCTATAGAGTGTGGCAAGATAGTGGTCAGTCTTGATGAGGAAAGGCTGGTTGACCCCAGGATGGTCCAGGTCATGGGTGGCAGCTGCTAAGAGTCCCAGTAAGATGTCTTTGGAGGTCAGAGACTTGGCAAGCTGCACAAAAAAATAATGCAAGAAGGGTTTAAAATACAAGAATGCCTTCTCCGAAGAACTCTCAGCTCTGCAAATAGCATACTTTTATTCAAAATCTGTCTGTAAGAGCACTTATTTGGATGCATTATCAAACGCACATCTTAATGGTAGCATTCACTGGTTAGACTGAAAGAAGCTGATGAGGAAAGCCTGTACTGTGAGTTGAATACTGTTGAAGCAAGAAACCTTGGCTATGCAAGAATTTTTTTTTAAGAAGACCTTGTTGTGGCTAGCAAAGGACTGGGTGAGAGTTAGCTACTTAAACCCAAAAGAGCTCACGTGTTTTGTCTCACCATGGGCTCTCGCAGGTAGCAGTACATGGCCTGTGTGACATCTGCAGCATGGACAGCGTTGTGGTACGGGTTGTCGCTGTGGTAGTCCTCCTGAACCATGACCAAAAACCTCCAGAGTTTGACCATGTCCAGCTGGAAGAGCTCCACCAGCCCATACTGGTTCAGCAGGTGGAAAGTCAGGGTGATCAGGCTGTTTCCTGAGCAAGAAGTCAAATCAGAATGATCACTCTGCATTCATCCCTTAAGTTCACCTATAAAAGCTGCAACTGAACGCTGCTGAACTCAACAATAATCACTTCTATTGCCAGTCTTTTTTTATGGATGCATCCATCTTTCCTAATTCTGCCTCCACTACACCACCTCCTCCTAATTGCACCAGGTTGCACCAGTCTGATTTTTAATAGTTGTGATTCTCACCACTGCAATCCTTAACTTCTGCTTTTGAAGTTTAACTCGGGTCAGGTCAGAGACGGGTCAAGAACATGTCTTAAAGCTGTTTGGATGATTGGATTGAGGTTACCTCAATTATACAGTGCAGGATGTGCAATTATATACATGATGAGAATTTCTTTTCATCCTCATTACGAGAGTGGCACTTAGTGGTTCAAAAATAAGAGAATGTAGAAAAAACGAATTACTTTTGTTTACCATTGACTTCCTGAACTCCACTGCTGCAGTCTGGCTTTCACACAGACCAGCTGCCCCCCCCCCAAAAAAAGGAGTATGATGAAAATACAAAGCACAATCTCTGAAGCTTCTTTCACACGTCAGCTTAAGAGAGTTGGAATATTTTCCCGCATTATCCTTTCTCACATGTCGTACACAGCAGGAAATTGTCTGCCTCAGACATGCTCTCACTACAGGAAGTACACCTGGTGGTTTGCGCGAGGGATCTTACTGGACGCAGAGGGGAGGAGGCAGCGCACACGTCACGCCTGCTCGCTAGCAGTAAATACGCCAGAGTATTAGCTGCGCTATTTGCACACTGGTGCAATCAGACATCACATGGACACTGTACTATGCAGCCCGCAGATGAACAGACCTGCTAATGGAGAAATGACTGACATTTCTCCCACGCACCACTGCCGTGTGCTGGAGTATGTCCCAGCTGTCATACAGTAAGAGGTGGGGTACACCCTGGACAGGGCACCAGTCTGTGAGGTTTAGAGAAATTCAGGGCTACAGTGCATGTGTGAAAACAGCTTATGGAAAAATATTCTTGAGGATTTTAGAGGTTACAGGAGTACACACAGAAAGGAGGAGGGGCTAATTCAGAAGAGTATGCACTTCTATCCTATTACACAGATAAATAAATATAGGGCCTCCACACCAATACACTTAAAATAATTTGAGTTTAGTTTAATACAAATCTAAATAATACAACACTGTATGTTTATTTTCTGTCAAGCCTGGGCTTTGCTTAGACATAAAACAGCTGATGTATATTTAAAGTAAAACAGTGACATAGCTGCAGAGCTAATCCTAAAACTGTGCCAGGTATCAGATAGATGGCACCAGCGCCAACACTTTAAATCTCAACCAGAGGTCAGGATTCACCAGTCAGTGTGCACGACAATCAGCCACAACATTAAAACCGCCGACAGGTGGAGTGAATATTGATCATTTTGTTACAACACCTTCAGTGCTGTCATTCATGTGGGTGTTACTTTGAAACAATGTTTCACGAGTGGCATTTATCAGAGTCAGAACACGCACACCTTTTCTTCTTTTTACTTGGTCCCTTTAAGGATAGCCACTGAGGATCATCTGCCTCCATCTTACTCTATCCATATCTATCCTCATGTGTCACACCAAACCTCTGCAGGTCCTCCTTCACTGCATCTGTGGTCTCAGTCTTTTCCTCCTGCCAGGTTGCTTCTTTTTCGTCCGACTGTCACAAAACCCTTTTTCAGTATATCCATCATCCCTTCTATTTGCATGTCCAAACAATCTCAGACTTCCCTCTCTAACTTTGTATCCAAACTGCTCAATCTGATCTGAAATCTGCCTCATTCCCAACCAAGGTTATTATCGTTAACGAAAACTAACGAAATAACGAAAACTAGAAGTGAAAAAACATTTTTGTTAACGGAAATAAAAATAAAAACAAAAAAAGGAAAACTAACTAAAACTGTAATGAGTGTTCACAAAACTAACTAAAACTGTAATGAGTGTTCACAAAACTAACTAAAATTAACTGAATTTATAGCAAAAATGTGTTTAGTTTTCATTGATGTGTGCGTGTCATACAATAGTCAAGGGTGAAAATGAAGTTTAGTTTCCAGATTTTTTTCTTGCTGCGTCTCATTATGCCAGCAGGTGGCAGTACGTTAGTCGAGTCGTCTGTGTTGCTGCTCAGTCCACACGCAGAATCATGTCAGGAAAAGTCGGGAGAAAGCGCCAGAGTCCAATTTGGGATTACTTTGAATATGACTGTGTTTTGGATAAAGCAAGTTTCTTGTAGTGGAAAGAGACAAATTATGAGGGACATTTCTAAAGGGAAAAAAATCCGACAAACCTTAAAGTGCACTTGAAAAGCTCACACAAGAAGGCTAACCTAGCTTACCTTGAGAAGGTAAGGGAGCACACTCAACCCTCATCCCCAGAAAACAGAAGCTAACCCCAGGCAAGGCAGCGTGATGCATCCCGAGATAACAGGAATGGGATACAACTGTGTGAGTCAATTGCCTTCAAAAAGTTTATCAATTCACTTGAACCAAAATTACGAACACCCGGTGCTGCGAGAGTTAATAGTCTCATTAGAGCCAAGATATACATTTTATAGTTGCCTGGTATCAATGGTTGTTCATCTGCCTTTATTTATTTATTTATTTATTTATTTATGTATGTATTTATTTATTTAAAGAACCCATAGGTGGGAATGTGAGTTGTCTGTCTCTGCGTGTTAGCCCTGCGACAGACAGGCGACCTGTCCAGGGTGCAGGGTGTGGTAGCTGGAATAGCAACATACCCAAGGATAAGCAGAAGAGAATGACTGATATGATGAAACTGGGATTTTGTTACACTTAATTATTGCAAACAACTAAAATTATAACTGAAACTAATCAAAACTAAACTGAAACTAAGGCTTTTCAAAAAATAAAAACCAAACTAAACTAGCAAACAATTGGTAAAAACTAATTAAAACTGATATAAAATTGAAAATCTGAAGTCAAAACTAAATAAAAATAAAAACTAATGAAAATTGCAAAACTATTAAAACCCTGTTCCCAACAAAAGCATTTTCAGCTCTGCCACCTCCCGCTCGGTCTCCTGTCTTTTTGTCATCCACCTTCACTCTAGTTCTTGTACACCCTCCGCATTGTGTCGATCTGGCCTCTAAAGTCACGCAAATTTTGTAATCAGACTGCAAGTGTGAGGCTCCATGTGGATGTAGAGTGGCCATTACATTGCAACAACAGCGCACGCATGACATTGTGCCGTCTGTGTCCACAACAGAGTAAAATCTTCACTTTGCACGTCTTGTGTCCGTTCCCTGATGGCTGTTTTTGGGTCACAAGGAGGAACTGCGGTTTTAACGTTGTGGCTGATTGATGTCAGTTAAGGCATCATGGCATTTAGAACAACGTCTCAGAAGTCCTACAGATTATATTTTACCTACCATTTGTCAACCTATCGAAGAGGAAAATGTCAAAATTCCAATTCCCGACTTTTTCCAGCATGCACTACGATAGAGAAAAGAGAGAGTTTTACGTGAGGTTTGGAAAAAATTAATTATAAAAAGAAAATGTGCACTTCTGTTTTATTGTGGTGCCAAATATTACAAATAGTCCCATACTCTAGCCTGTCCAGTGTAATCTTCATCGAGGATGTGGAGGGGTATCTGCTGGGGGACTCCTCGCAGCAGACGGGACGAATGCAGGTATCTCTGGAAGCTGAGCAGCCTGTGGACCCGCCTTTCAGGATCATAGCTGGCCGACGTGGAGCCGCAGCCCAGCCGTGCTGCGCACACAAACACACAGATGCACACGATATTTTACAAAGGATACAACATCTAAAACAGACGACAACGTTGGGGCATGTTCATTTCTAAACCTCGTTAGGCCCGGAGAATTACTTGGCTCGGACAAGCTTGGTGGGGATCTGACACCAACACAGCAATACACAAACAGTTGCTGCTGACACAGCCGCCCACTCATAAGCCTTTCGTCTGGGATCACACAGCAGACATGCTTTGTCAGTGGTCTCTCTCCCTCCCTCTCTCTCACACGCGCACACACCCCACAAAAGGCACTGTGTCTGAGTAAACTGTCGCTGCAATCCAGAAACACGTCAGCGTGAGGTAGGATTAATCTTGGGTCAAAAATGTCAACAAGTACACTCAAACGTTTTCATTGAAAAATGAAAGTGGTGCTTTATCGTGCACCTGTAAGCCTCAAACAAGGTTTATAGTAAGGCACACCTCAGAGACAAGAACACAGGCGTCTTTCAGTCACGCAGGACAGGATTAGTCTGTGACTCCTACCGGGGAGGCTGGTTTTTTTAGTCAAGATGCTCGGGCTGTACTCACTGTGAAGCGTTCGGAAGTCGATGCACAGGTACGGGTGGGAGCTTCTACGTTCCGGTTCAAATCCAACCTGACTTCTCACTCTCACATCTCCTAGAAGAAATCAACACTTATTTCCTCAAGATTCATACAGCGTGAAAAGAAGTCCAGAAGTGCATCCAATTAGTAATCTTTTGGCGCTATATCCTGGAGTTTATCTTGCTTTAGTGACACAAAGATGGGCTTTACCACATGACAATGTAGTAAATCTTCTTTCATTTGGATTTTTAAGAAGCTGAAACTTACTCTGGTTTTCTGGCAACATCCAAAGACAGAGCAAATATTTATATCTTACTAGTTGCTATTTTTGCGATTTCTGTTATTATAAACTGTTATTTCTCCCCGTGTTTCTTGCTACCTGCCCTTTTTAGTAGCTTGTGCTTAAATTGCTCTAATGTCAAACACTTTTACTTGACTGTCATAGCCTCATAGCACTGAATCCTAACAAAATAATCAACAAAATCTTTCAAATTTGCTTTTTTCTAGAAAACCATTTATTATACCTCAGAGTGTTGACAGAAAACCTACCCCACCCCCTCCCCAATCACGTCTCAGCTTTTCTAAACAAGGAAATAATCCTTCTTATGTGAAGCTTTGGAACTAAATCATGACGTGTGACAGGACGCTGTGGTAAAACCCATCATCTCTGTACTCCCCAGCAAGCTAAAACAAGCAAGAGATTGTGGAAAATACTATTTGACCAAGACCCAGTGTGGACTATCCATGTGCGGGCACAGTCACACACAAGCACACACTCCTATGTTCCAGAAGAGGAAACTCAACGGACAGACAAGTCAAACAGCTGAGCATGCAATGCCATGTCTGCTCTACTATTAGTACTCCGAGCCACTGAGAAGGATATATAGCCGATCTGTGACTGGTTTTAGTAGTCAGGCAGAGAAACAGAGACAGGCTCCAAACTCAGACCTAACAGACGGCGGCCGGCCTGCTTGCTTGCTTGTAGGCTGCAGTCGAGAGCAGTGAGAGCACAGTGAGGTGACAGGATGGTGCTATGACTGATGCAGCAAATGCTAGTGTGTTGTTCCAGGTAACACTGTATGTACAGCAAGACTCTATACTGCAGTATACTGATTAAAGGTGCGATGGTATGCTTCCAGCATAGCACTTAAATTGTGTCACGTGTGCATCAGTTTATCAACAAAAAAAAAAAAAAAAAAAAAAAAAGTAGTCACACCAGTGTGTTCCCACAACCACCTTGTTACTTACTTGCAAACAGCTGTTTGAATACTACACAAGCTCCTATCAAAATACCAAAAACTAAGAATTACTATTCACGGCATAGCGGCGCTAAACATTACTTTGAAAAGCTATTCATGAATGTTTAGTTTCGATTGCACAATATGAATTCTGCGAAAATAAACAAAAAAAACACCACAATTCATGCACTTTTAGGCAGTCGTCATATGCCCATATGTATGCACATCTGTCGCATCTGCAGATGCAAACACACGTGCTCGGGCCCAGAGCGCGTCTGTCTGCGCGAGTTTGCGTGATTAGTGCGTTTTGAGTGTCAAAGGGTCCACGTCTCCCCTATGGTGCATTAGTGCTGGAGCTCTGGGGTGAATGTAGGTCATGTCATTATAACTGATGAGGCAAAAGCTCTGAGTCCTGCTATTTGAAAGCACATCAGCATTAACTTGGCAGACTGAACCCAGGCCCAGGCCAGCACCCGTCTGCATTAGCGTGCCTCTCCTTACACTTAATTTAATCTGAAAATCTACACACACAGATGCTTTATGCCTGTGACATATGAGACTGCCATCATACTTAGCTAAGTAAAATGATTGAAAAGCTAAAGCTCCTTCACTCAGCTCAATGAAATGCTGTTATTATGACTAGACTAGGCAGCAGTTGACTCATGATCGTGCTGGAAAGAAACAAAGTATGACAATAATATGTTGTTTTTGGTTTTTTTCACTTTTTTTTTCACGCTGAGCTAATACTGATAGCTCCCTGCCCGCTCACTACATTTCATAGCAGCAATCTAAAATATCCAAGAAGAATACAGACAGGATAACACTTCAAGCAATTCTACTCTTCTTCTTTGCTGCTACCTCCCAGCCAACAAGTATGATATGAGGTGCCAAAAGTTCCATGCAAAACAGCATCCTTGTTTAGTACACATACCTCAGGGGTATAACCAGCCTCTAATCGCACCATTATCCCCAGTAACCTTATTGATTACGGAGCTGAACTGGCTGCTTCCTAGATGCATTTGACTCCATCTGCCTGGCAGAGCTATGAACCTTCATCCTCACATCCATTTTCTAAGCTGCTTATCCTCTTTAGGGTCACTGAGTGCGAATGGACATGCACGAATGCACGCATATGTACACAAAAAAATAACCTCAGCCAAAGATGCTTTAGTTTATTTACAGTTAAAATAAAAACCGTATGCTCATCACATATCTGATTGAACTTTTAAGACTGAAGACTACCGATACACATGCATGCACGCACACACACACACACACACCCTGAACCCTATCGTGACTTAAAAGATTAAAAAAGGCCAGGGATTGAAAGGATTCTGGACATGCCCTTAAATGCGCATCTCAGTGCTTTTATTTTAGACGATCACAGAGAAGGTAAACCTTCCGAGGTCTCGAAGTAGTGTGACTGTGTCTCTACTGTGTGTATGTAGAAAGAGCAGGTTAACACTTACCTAGCATACGAATATACAGCGCTGTCTGGTCAGAGCTGTCGTAGGAGATGGCCCCTCGTCTCTGAGCAGGAGAAAAAAAAAACAGAAGAAACGAAAAGAAAACATCAGCTATTGTTCAACCGATACAGTGCAACGCAATTACAAATACTGCCGAACAACAAAGAGGTCCCGCCTGTCCAAAACCACGTGTGAAGTATAACAGTCCCTGATCACCAATAAAGACCAGTGGTGCTCGAAACATCACTTCTTTTTATTGGTTCAATAAATAATTGTAAACCTGAGCCCTGCAGCTGTTTTCTTACTATAACAATCACAGTGCAACAACAGGCGCACCCCAAAACACTTCTTCTGAAACATGTGCCTTATTATTTTTATTTTTTTTACATTTTAATGCATATGCAGGACTTGATAAGAGGAGGGTGGTGTAATGCTTCTGCTGCAGGTTCTAATCTCCAGTGTGTACTCTGTATACTCTGGTGTTATACTGATAAACATGCTCTAGCACCGTGTCATCAGCCTTATTCGGCACTGCTATCAGGCATGTGAGAAACACATGTGCTATTTGGGGACACACGCACACAAACACACACACACACACAGACACCAATAGTATTTTTTTGATGTGTGAGGTTCTTATGCAACTTAAAGATTTGCCTCAAAGCACAGTTTGAAAATGCAGAAGTATTAAAAGTATAGATATATTTTCTAAAGTTATTTATTCTGATGTCAGCACGTGAATGCACTTTGATTTAGTAAAAGTGACTATGGTGGAATTGACAGCTTGTACAGATGTGACGGACCAGCTAGCAACAAGTCAACTTATCAGCTTAAGAGTCTAAACTCAGAGCTTCTGGCAGCTGCTTCATAAAAGACTTTTTTTTGCTTCGTCTTCTTAAAAGCAGTTACAGGAAGTGTTTAGTGGCCATCTGCTAACTGTTTATTCAATAAAGTCTGAGCTAAATCTAGATTTGGACATTTAATTTAGACTTTTTATTCCATGTCAGAGTGTGCCAAGGAAAAATAAAATGATGAAAAACCTTTTCAATGCAAGACAAAAGCAGAGGGAGCATTATGCGTAAATAACATTAAACAACACTCAGTCCTTTCTAAATAGTACCCCTGTGTTAGGATTCGGTCTATGCCTTCCATAATCCAAAAAGCACACTTTAAAGCAGTGGACTAAGACAGGCCACAACCAGACTTGCACTATGATGAATAAATCTTTAACGTGCATTGAACGACGCCCATTCGTTTACTTAACCGTCATTCAGTTCAGGATGGAGCCTATCCCAGCTGTCAACGAGCAAGCATTGTGATACACCCTGAACAGGTTGCCAGTCCATCACAAGAGGCAAACAACCAATCGCACCCACATTCACACCTACAGCCAGTTCAGAATCACCAGTTAACCAAACGTGAGTATCTTAGGACTGTGGGAGGAAGCAGGAAGACTCGGGGGAGATCCCACACAAACACAGATACCCCTCCCCATAAAATAAAAAGCACATCAGGGAACTTTATTTATATTATTGTTCCTTGCACACAGAGACAGAGAAAGAGTTTCATGAACTTTACTGAAATGCAATTTAGTAGCAATTTCAAAAGCAAAATTAACTTCACTGCACAAAACTCTTCTGGAATATCACTTTTACTGCTTACTGTAACCCACGAACATGAAATACCACGTAAATGCTGTAACTTCCTGAAATACTTCTCTCAGTCAACACTGGGTTCAGCATCACATCCAAACAAATCACAATACCATTTCCTGTAAAGTAATGCACTTGACGCATCATGTTTTAAAATATGTAAATACTTCCTCAATATGCGTCAGCAGTGCAGCAAACGGCTTTGGTACGCGGGCTGCAGATACATTTTTAATGCATTGGGAAGAAAAGAAAAGAAGAATAAACCAGGAAATAAACCATTTAGGTTATTCAGGTTTCGAGAGAGGAAGCAAATGAGTTGAAGAAACATTGAAAAATGTTCCAGCAAACCATGTTTACTTCTTTATCCATGCATCCATCCATTCATCTTAATTGCTTATACAACTTAGGGTTGCAGGAGGTCAGCAGTCTATCCCAGGGTACACTCTGGGCTGGGATAACAATCCATTAGAGGATAAAATTTTTACTTTTATTCTCTGCACAAAAAACAAAATCCAGTCCTAACTAGTATTCCAGTGCATGAAGGCAGCTGCGACAATAGTGTTACTTGCACAGCAGTAGCTGTAGCAGGCACGACTGCCGTAACTACATATTTGCTCTGTTGACAGACAGCTGCCCAAGGCTACAGTGAGGTGCTGGCTCACCTCTCTGTGCACTTTACACATCCTGGCCCCCCTCCAGGTCAACTCTTCACTCACCCTAATGGGGCTACCCTTGTCTAGAGTTACCCCTTTCACAGAGATCCTGCATAACTGGAAGATTACCTCACTGATTGACTCTGTGCCAGACTTACGGCTCTCTACTAGGACAAACTGTTTTTAAAAGGAAGATGTTTTGGTCCACTGACAACCAACCTGTTCACTGTATACAACTCTAAAGAACAAAAGGGCCTTACTGGATCCTTAACCCTCCAGGTTAACACAGGGCACCCTTCACTCAAAGCACTCTAATGAAAAGAGAGCATATTTTTATATAAAGGAAAGTTATAATAAAAATAGATTTAAAAAGGCAAAACTAGGAAGCTCTGTATTATGGTCCACAACTACAGAGTACAGCAATGGGCCTGATAAATGTGTCTAATCTGTGGCCATTTAACGACAGCCGGCAGGTCACACCAAACACAAACGCATGCAAAAACACAAATGCTCTGGCTTGTACACTCATTACCTCATATAATTAGGATTACTGTGAATCTTTCACACACACAGATATACACCTAACAATGTCTGTACTCTAAGCTCATGACAGCCACCAATCCAAAGCTAATATTTTACTGCCTAGCAAACAGCTTGACTCAGGGTGGGTAATGTGCAAAGCTGTATTTTAGTGTCAACAGGCCTCTGTGTTTACACATGGTGCAGTGTTTAGTGTGAGCATTATAGATTGTGGGTATGTTATCCACGGAGCTTGTGTGTGTGTGTGTGTGTGTGTGTGTGTGTGTGTGTGTGTGTGTGTGTGTGTGTGTGTGTGTGTGTGTAAGATGGGGGTTGGAATAGGCTGCAACACGTGTGGGAACTGTATAATGCTGGCTAAGAGTGGGTATGAAGAGTGACCAGCCCTGCTAACACAGCTAGCACCAACAAAACCTTTTGCCTGGCCACACACACACACACACACACACACACACACACAGGTCCAGCAGCCAGTTGGCGCTTACTGCCATGACCTCCCTTGTACAACAAGTTGGCAAGAGCTGCACTTTGTGTATGTCACATTCTCACTGTGAACAGAAGGGAAAGTCACATTTTACCCTTGAAATGGCCAGCCCACAACACACCCACACACAGAGACACACACCCTCACATACCCTTGACACGCCTTGCTGCACCAACACACAAAGCCAGACAACCATGGGCCTGTCATGGTCCAACAAGAAGTTAAGTCACTTTTTTAAGCTTTGCGCTTCTGGCATTTATGCTTCACAGCTGTGACTGAGATACGAAGACAGATGCAAGATATCAACTGAAGAACTTGAGCTAAATGTCACATGCACACTTAATTTATTAAAAAACTATTAGATTACTATGACCTGGATGACTGAGAACCTACACAGATTTATTAAAGTTTAAAGAACAGTGTTTATTCACTTTAATTAACTTGAAATTACAACATATAAAAAGACGTCCAGCACTGAGCTTCTTTTTTTTTAATTGGTAATTAAAGTTTTGTTTTACTTCTTACGGTAGTTTGAGGGTTTAAAAAAAAAAAAAATTAGTTAAATGGGTCAACAACCTTTTTTTTTTTTTTAAATCAAGGCTTTAGAGACTGAAAAAGCATTAGTGCACATTATGCAAACTATATGGTGCACACAAGAAAAACAAGAGGTCTTGATTTTCTTGCACGTAACAATACAAGCCTTAGAGTGGCAGGTAGATACTAGTGAATGCCCTTTTTCATGTCATGACCAAAACTTGCTTGATTTGTTTCCCAATGACTTTAATACAGTTAAAGTTACTCCAAGCTGCTTCGAGCTGTCCTCCAAGAAACTGCAGCTTTAGAAACTCTGACTTCACTCTGGAGCAGTGCCAGTTTGCATTTGACCAACAGCCTCAGGGATGAAACAAGGCAGAGCCCAGATTAAAATTTCTTGCAAGTTTCTGTTCCTCTTTAGCATTTTCTTTAAACATTAGGTTAAAGCAAAACAGGGGTGTGATGGGTGAAACGTGACTCACTGGGCTGGAAAGCCATGAAGTCACCATCCAGCCATTTCTGGTGTGTTCAAGATAGTTTTACACAACACTTTTGTACTCTCTCCTGATCACCCCGAGCATTATAGCTACCAAAAAACAGTGATATGTGTGTACAGGATATGCTAATCTTGCCATCTAGATTTTCTAATAACTTGTAATAACTGCAAATGGAGTGAGTAAACACAGTGTGAAGTTGTTAGCTTTGCATAAGGAGGCAAAATGAGGACAGTTACAAGTCCAGATGGCATGTGAGTGAGCAAACATTTACGTTAACAAATCACCACACAAACAACAGGGCTGGCCACACCTTCGGTATATAGACATCTAGTTTAAAGACTAGCTGGCACATGTCAATCACAGAGCCCCTATGAAACAAAACAAATCATTATATTTTAACAGCAAAAAATGAACCCCCTTCTACCCAGCTCCCACTTGCTGTTAAAGAACCTGTAAGTAATGACAGTTGCTCAGGTCCCCAGGCTACTCTTGCCCAAAAACACTGAGGAATGAGAACATGGAAAGTTACGCAAGTCTGCATGTCAAAAGGTAGATTTCATCAGCTAGTATCAGTATTTGGTATCAACGTGGCTGGTTGTTACAGAAGTACATATCACTTCGATCACTGGTCACTTCGTTAGGTTCACTTGCTCAACTACTCAGTAACATAAGTATCTCTTTAGCCAATCCCACGGCAGCTACACAGTGCAATCAGGAATGCAGACATGGTTAAGATGACCTGGTGAAGTTCAAACTGAGAATCAGAATGGGGTAAAGGGTGATATGAGTGACTTTGAACTAGGCTTTTTTTTAAATTTTTTCATAAACTGCTGAATTACTGGGAATTTGGTGTAAACAACATGTAAGCATGGATGCGTCCCAGCTGACATCAATGGTCCAAGCTGGTGGTGATGCTCTATAACGGTGTGGGGATATTTTCTTAGCACATGTTGGGCCTCAACTGAGAATTGTTTTTGCTGATCATGTCCATCCTGTTATGACCACAGCGTAGTGTTCTCGAACATGACAACAGGTTCACAACAGCCTCCACTGTCACCTGATCTCAATCAGATAGAGCACCTTTGGCTTGTGGGGGAATGGGACATTCTCATCATAGATGTGCAGCCAACAAATCTGCAAGCAACTATGACGCTTCATGTCAATATGAACCAAAATCTCTGAGGAATGTTTCCAGCGCCTCGCTGTATCAATGTGTCGAGGCAAAAAGGGGCCTAGCCCAGTACTAGCAAGATGTAACTAATAAAGCGTCAGATGAGTATATATAGAGATATTTACCAGTTAAAAAAACTAAGCAAAACAAAAGAGAAAATAAAGGAAAAACAAACTCTACAATGCCTTTTGCAGAAATATTTTCAGTAACTTTTACCGGTAGGTCAATTTATCAATTTTTATACCAAAGGGATCGGTATCTCCACTCCATTCCATCAAAACACTAGCTGAGGGAATATTTTTCGGAAGAGTCATCCCTCCAGTGACTAAAGAGACTTGGGACATCGTAGCAAAGATGCACCGAAGCCGTTCTTGAGGCACATGTGAGCCTAACATCTTACTAACACGCATGTTGGTTTTTCCCTTTAATTTGCACCAAATCTTCTGAATTATACACTTTATTAAAACTTAAATGAGTAACAATGACTCATTCTGAAGGTTTTTTCAATTTACTTCAACATAGCTTTAAAATTTTAACAAAACTTCTATTGCTTTCGGTGCCTTTATATGAGTTGCAGTCTGTTGGTTTTTGATTGTAGCAGTCTGAGAACAAGCTAGCTTTAGTTCTGTTTGGCGTTTTAACCACTAGGCCTAACAGCGCAACCATTGTTCTCCCTGCAATTCCATCTAAGCTCGTTTACATACAGCTCTGTTTCTTATCTCGGCTTAGCGCCACTGCCTTGGGGCACAACACTCAGGTTTCTGAGGTCAGGACCTAATGTGAAAACTCCTCACTATGTGGCTGACCCCCAGGGCTTCATTGTTTGTCATTTTCTCACCCGTATAGTTAAACAGACACAAAAAAATATCAGAAAACATGCAGTATGATTAATGCATGCAGAATTAACCCAAAAACACTCATTTCAAAACACTCAGAAATTCAAAATCATTACTCAAAAAGCACTTTCACCAGAGCACCGTGAAAGAGCAGATACAGATGTCTGATGCCCTTTCAATGGCACAATCGAATGCAACATTCTCACACTTCCTGATTTGAAACACAGGCCTAAAACCAGCTTTTACTAGGTTATAAAGATCTTAGAATTTGACTTAAACTGAGGACCTGCCTATTCCAGTAAGCAAGTCCGCTGGGGCCAAGCAAATGAGGAAGCCAGCAGTATTCCAATAAACTGACATATCAAAAAACAAAGCAGTGCACACATAAACCCTATACACACACACACACACACATCCAAACCCCACACACACATATATGTAAATGCTCGAGATAAAAAGCAGGTGGACGGGTTTTTCACAAACCAAAAGCTTCCTTCTGACTTATGGCCTCTTGCAGCGCTCTGCTGTGTGGGACGCCAAATTCCAGAAACTGAGTGCTAGCCTATAAACAAAAGCAGATCTGGAGTGTGTGTGTGTGTGTGTGTGTGTGTGTGTGTGTGTGTGTGTGTGTGTGTGT